TCATTTATTTAACACACAACAAGGGCCAATACAAACTTATATAAACTAAATAAAGCATTCTAGGTATCCTCTGAGAATTTTTAGTTAGGTAGTGATGCTTGTTTTTCTTTATATCGTCCCTAAATACAAAGTTTCGTGCTTCTCTTGGTAACAGTTTTCAACATTGTAAAATTTTTTATGACGCGAGGCTGTTATCATTCTCCCACTCGCCACCTTCACCAAAATTTTCATTTATGGGAGAAAATAGAACCAAACTACATTACTTTGCTAGTGTAACTGTGGTACGAATATTAACAAACTCATGCCTTCATTACCGTCTTCAACATTGTGCCGTTAAGTTTCTGATTTGATTTATTAATAAAAATAAATATTAATGCAAGTAAGACTAAGATATTTATATAACTAAAATTGCAGTTAATGATATAAAATACAGCTACAGTTATATTCACATGGAGACAGTTTCATAAAGGAGGTGTTTTGACTTAGAAGTGATTAATTGTTTCTCATTTGAAACCTGAACTTCATAAGTGTCACTCAGAGGAGGACTGTGGCTTAACTTGTTCTGTAATTTCAGACTCATTTTTCTTTTTTAGGACAATTTACTGAGTGTTTTGAACTCCAGGCACTTTGTTAAGGATATTTTCTATGTCACTGTATATTTAAGGTGGTGTTAAATGAGCAGTGTTAAGTGTTTTAGTGATTTATTCTGGAACTAGTGATTTAAACTTTCTGTAAACAAACAGTTGTCGGAGCGGAGTGTTTTATTTATGTGAAGTTTGATATTAAATAAGAAGTCTCGTAGTAAACGTATTAATTATTGAGCGTAACTTTACTTAGTGATAAAATAAGTAATTATTGTATTCACGAAACAACAATGACGCCGTATGTGGAAATATCTTTAATTGGATTAATGACACTAAAACAATATAAAAATATACAAAAAGTGAAAATATCTAATATTAACGTGAAAAAAATATTGAAAATTAATTAATACGAAAAAAAGGTAAGTGAAGGCAACAGTGTTTAAACCATTTTAAGTTCTGTACTGTATTTGTTAACATCTCACCGTGACAAAATGTTTACAGATAAGATATTTCTTAATGGCGTATACTATATATTTATATACTGTTGTGTACAAGGTGAAAATTCAGATATTTATTCTAGTAAACAGGGGAATAATAATAATTTTTTCTCTATCATCCAGACGAAATGGTGACAAAATAACTCTTTTTTTTAACGGGAATAATTATGTCTATATTTTGCTTATTAGGTGGGAATTAAATAACACCATGAGAGTAGTGTTAATTAAACGGGTTCCCTGTTGCCATTATACAGTGTAATAGGAAAAAAATGGTACTTATTAGTGTGATTTAATTTGGGTTAATGATTTATAACGCCATGCCTCTAACCTCACAATTTGGGGTTTTTCAGGCCTTTTGAAGGTTTCGAAGGTATGGGTGGGGGGGTTATGGTGTTTTTAGGGGGGGGGGGTCTGGGTGTATGGGAGTTTGGGTTTACAGAGCACCTGAAGATTTTAGCCCACCTGAATTATTTGACCTGATAATTAAACACACTGAATTCTACCTTGTGGTTAGTTTAGGTTGATAGGTGAGGTTAGGTTAAGTTCAGTTAAGTTCGGTTACATTATTAAGGTGAGATGAGGTTGATAGGTGAGGTTAGGTTAAATTCGGTAAAGTTAGGTTAGATTATTAAGGTGAGATTAGGTTAGGTTAGGTAATGTTACATTAAGATAGGTTAAAATATTAAGATTAGATAAGGTTTGGGTGGGTAATGTTAGGTTAAGTTAGGTTAGGTTAAATGTACCACTATGCATAATACCTCCTCCTCCTCCTCCTCCTCTGTTAGTCATTAACAGGTTATAACACACTTGGGATTGACAAATTATCTTATCATAATGACATCTTTTGTGACGGACTTTATGACCTCCAGTTGACCTCCCAGCTGAGGTTAACCTTCCAGATGCTGTTGATCTCCCAGCTGGTGTTGACCTCCCAGCTGGTGATGACCTCGCAGCTGGTGTTGATCTCGCTTATGTTGATATCCCTGCTGGTGTTGACCTCCCAGCTGGTGATGACCTATTTGCAGGTTTTGACTTCGTAGGGCCTTTCACAGCTGGTGTTGCTTCATAGGACTTTCACAGCTGGTGTTGACTTCGCAGTGCCGTCTCACAGCTGGTGTTGCCTCATAGAGCTGTCTCACAGCTGGTGTTGCCTCATAGAGCCGTCTCACAGCTGGTGTTGCCTCATAGAGCTGTCTCACAGCTGGTGTTGCTTTATGCGGCAGCCTCACAGCTGGTGTTGACCTCGTAGTGCCTTCTCACAGCTGTTGTTGCCTCATAGAGCCGTATCACAGCTGGTGTTGTGTCTCACAGACTTCTCACAGCTGGTTGCCTCCTTAGAGCCGTCTCACAGCTGGTGTTGCCTCTCAGAGTTGTCTCACAGCTGGTGTTGCCTCCTCACATTGCCGTCTCACAGCTGGTGTTGCCTCCTTAGAGCCGTCTCCAGTGGTGTTGCCTCATAGAGCTGTCTACAGCTGGTGTTGCTTCATAGGACTTTCACAGCTGGTGTTGACTTCGCAGTGCCGTCTCACAGCTGGTGTTGCCTCATAGAGCTGTCTCACAGCTGGTGTTGCCTCATAGAGCCGTCTCACAGCTGGTGTTGCCTCATAGAGCCGTCTCACAGCTGGTGTTGCCTCATAGAGCTGTCTCACAGCTGGTGTTGCTTTATACGGCAGCCTCACAGCTGGTGTTGACCTCGTAGTGCCTTCTCACAGCTGTTGTTGCCTCATAGAGCCGTATCACAGCTGGTGTTGCCTCCTAAGGCCGTCTCACAGTTGGTGTTGACTTATAGAGTTTTCTCATTAAAATTAAATCAAAAGGTCATTCCTTAGGGTCCAACTTTTTGTTGATGTAGCTTATAGCGGTGTCCTGTAGTCTGTCCATAGCTTATAGTGCTGTCCTGTAGTCTGTCCATAGCTTATAGCGGTGTCCTGTAGTCTGTCCATAGCTTATAGTGCTGTCCTGTAGTCTGTCCATAGCTTATAGCGGTGTCCTGTAGTCTGTCCATAGCTTATAGCGGTGTCCTGTAGTCTGTCCATAGCTTATAGCGGTGTCCTGTAGTCTGTCCATAGCTTATAGTGCTGTCCTGTAGTCTGTGTAGCTTATAGCGGTGTCCTGCTCCATATATGGCGGTGTCCTGTAGTCTGTCCATAGTTTATAAGTGCTGTCCTGTAGTCTGTCCATAGCTTATAGCTGTCCTGTCCTGTAGTCTTGTCCATAGCTTATAGCGCTGTCTGTGTAGTTCTGTCCATAGCTTATAGCGCTGTCCTGTAGTCTGTCCACCAGCTTATAGCGCTGTCTAGTGAGATAGCGCTGTCTGTAGTCTGTCCGCAGCTTATAGCGGTGTCCCAGTCTGTCCATAGTTTATAGCGTGTCCTGTAGTCTGTCCATAGCTTATAGCCTGTCCTGTAGTCTGCACATAGCTTATATAGTCTGTCCATAGTTTATAGCGGTGTCCTGTAGTCTGCACATAGCTTATAGCGATGTCCTGTAGTCTGCACATAGCTTATAGCCATGTCCTGTAGTCTGCACATAGCTTATAGCGCTGTCCTGTAGTCTGTCCATAGTTTATAGCGGTGTCCTGTAGTCTGCACATAGCTTATAGCGATGTCCTGTAGTCTGCACATAGCTTATAGCCATGTCCTGTAGTCTGCACATAGCTTATAGCGCTGTCCTGTAGTCTGTCCATAGTTTATAGCGGTGTCCTGTAGTCTGCACATAGCTTATAGCGATGTCCTGTAGTCTGCACATAGCTTATAGCCATGTCCTGTAGTCTGCACATAGCTTATAGCGCTGTCCTGTAGTCTGTCCATAGTTTATAGCGGTGTCCTGTAGTCTGCACATAGCTTATAGCGATGTCCTGTAGTCTGCACATAGCTTATAGCGATGTCCTGTAGTTAACATGCTTATAGCCATGTCTAGTCTGTCCATAGTTATAGCGCTACCTGTAGTTCCTGTCCATAGCTTATAGCGGTGTCCTGTAGTCTGTCCATAGCTTATAGTGCTGTCCTGTAGTCTGTCCATAGCTTATAGCGGTGTCCTGTAGTCTGTCCATAGCTTATAGCGGTGTCCTGTAGTCTGTCCATAGCTTATAGCGGTGTCCTGTAGTCTGTCCATAGCTTATAGCGGTGTCCTGTAGTCTGTCCATAGCTTATAGCGATGTCCCGTAGTCTGTCCATAGTTTCTTAATAACTTGTAGGAGTTGTGTAATCCTTAATTATCTTGTTCGGTATTTGTTAATGAAGGGAGGTAACGGTAAGTCCTGTCAAGTAATTACAAGAGATTAAGCTGAGATGGTTCTTACTCTCGGTGCACTTATATGTCGAGACTGTAAACGTTGGCTTTTATCTGTGTGCTTAGCTAAGATTAACCACTGAGCTACCTACTCTCCCTGCCTCCTCTCCCTCCTCTCCCTTCCTCCTCTCCCTCCCTCATCTCCCTTCCTCTCCTCCCTACTCTTCCTTTCTCCCTCCCTCCCTCCCTCCTTGCTACTATATATTCTCTCACTGTAATATCGCGGAGCTAATTGCTTGTGCCAGCCTATTTATAAACCCAATTTGGATCTTGTATATGTGTAAGTGTCTTGCAACCATTCAATTAATGCTGTGTTTGGGTACTGTTTTGTGTGTGTGTGTGTGTGTGTGTGTGTGTGTGTGTGTGTGTTTGGGTTGAATGTAAATATGGAGTATCACAGTTTGGTCGAAATGAAGAAAGAAAATAGATAAAATAATAATAATAATAATAATAATAATAATAATAATAATAATAATAATAATAATAATAATAATAATAATAATAATAATAATAATAATAATAATAATAATAATAATAATAATAGTAATACAAATAATAATAATAATAATAATAATAATAATAATAATAATAATAATAATAATAATAATAATAATAATACAGTACTCACGTTGACTTGGACGAAGGGTATGGGCAGGACAGTTGCTCGAGGCTGTTCTGGGGTGAACCTGAAGAACTCGCGGTCATTGAAGTACCACTTGAGGGAGTACAACTTCCCTGGCACCTTCCACCGGCACTCAAGCTCCACCTCCTCCCCGCGACGCACGAATTGTGGCACCTTCACCTCCTCTATGTACGTCTCCTCATCCTCGTGTGCGTCTGTAATAATAATAATAATAATCTTTCTCAGGTGTGTCCAGGAAATCACAGGTGTTAATTAGAAACCGTCAGGCGTAACATGATCTCTTTTTTCTCTCTCATCCCATCAGCAAAAATGTCAATTCTTACGACCGTCCTTTACACACACACACACACACACACACAGACGAGCTGAGGGAGGGAGGAAGGAAGAGAGAGAGATCTGTCACATATCATAACTCAAACCGTTAGGAATAAATAGACGTCTTGAGCACAAATAATAGTTAACTAGCTCAGGTAAACTAGCAGGTAAATAACACTAACATGTCGTAAGGTGACTATCAATGCCACACCCACTGAGGACCGTCACGTCAAGTTTATTCCAACACCATAACTCTGTTGTAATTCTCCCATCAAAATATTTTAAGTTCACGACTTAGTTTTAAAATTTATTCTAAAAAAAATCGCGAAATGATATTATACACCTGTATTTTATTTTTTCTGGAGATTAATTCGTTGGTATTTATTCTGACGTCCAAGGATTCTATGTTACGTCTTCCTTAATGATTTGTTCTAAAGAAAAGATCTAAGAATTTTTACTTATTACCAGAAAAGGAAAGAGAGAGAGGGGCGGGGGGGGAGAAGAGAGAAAGATAGAGATTTAGACAGAAAGAAAGAAATAAAAGAAAAATAAGATAACAGCAATAATAACAACCAGATAAAGCAAAAAGTAAATAAATAAACTCACATTAAAACACCACGACCCTCACGACCAAAATAAAAACACTCACACAAAATCACACACAATAAATCCACTTAGAAGTTATGACAATAATTCACCCTCAAAAAAACAGAAAACTTATATAAACTAACTGGGGAAATATGACGCCATCCATCGCACATAAGAGACATGAATGAGTCATAGAGACACATCAACGCCTGGCGAGTGACTCTATTTTTGTGGCATAATGGCGAGTGGCACTGTGTTGTGTCCTTGATGGTATGAGTGGTACTTGTGATGCCACTTTTAATTCTCCCTGGGTCGTATTTTTATTTATTTATATTTTTTTTGGGGGTACCTGGCGATCATGGTCACCTTCCATTTGATGTGTGTGAGGTGGCGATTTTCCGCGACGTTTGAGGGTACGGATTCGTTTACGAGGCCGGGTTCGTTTAAATGTCTGAGTTCTTATACTTGTCCGGGATTGTTATCGGGTTCGAGTCCATTCGCGAGTCCGGGTTCGTTTAAATGTCTGAATTCTTGTACTTGTCTGGGTTCGATTTCGGGTCCGAGTTCGTTTTCGGGTCCGAGTTCGTTTGCGAGGCCGGATTCATTTAAATGTCTGAATTCTTTTACTTGCCCGGGTTCGTTTAAATGTCTGCGCTCTTTTACTTGTCCGGGTTCATTTGCGGGTTCGGTTCCGGGTGCAGCGATTGGGGGTTGGGGTGGTAATGAAGTTATCGAGTAGTAGTTATTGAGTTAAGTGAATGTTAAGAAAGCGTCTTCAAGTATTGTGTGGGAAGGTCCCTCTGTCCTGGTGACTGTCTGGATTAATTATACCAGAGAGAGAGAGAGAGAGAGAGAGAGAGATAACACTGGTAGGGATTTAGTACGAGTACCTACACTCACTCACCATACCTAAATCTCTCGACTTAAATGTTCATAAAGAAAACAAATCAAGACCAAGACACACACACACACACACACACACACACACACACACACACAAGGACTTGAATTTTTTATATATTAAAATCTGGTTCTTGGTTTTTAATAACCTTGTATAGCGGGTTCGGATGGTTGCGATCTCGCTTCTCAAACACGGAGACACGGGTTCGAGTTGCAGTACGGGTTCTGGTTTGAGGTGCAGTACGGGTTCGGGTTCGAGTTCCAGTTCGGGTTTAGTCTGGTGAAAAGGTGAGGTAAGGTTGGTGAGGTGTTGTGCTGAGTTGGCCACCAGCCACCTCGATGCTTTGGGCTGTTAGACCAAATCATCTCACCTAAGGGATCTTGGAGGACTCTGGAGAGCCCTGGAGGGCCGTGGAGATCCATGAATGACCTTGGAGGACCCTGGAGGGGCCTGAAGGACCCTGGAGGACCCTGGAGAACCGTGAAAAACCTCGAAAGAACTTGAAGGATCTTGGAGGAAGGGTGAGGACAGAGGTATCGGGTGTGGCTGGTGGACAGCAATATCACACAGACATAGATTATCGGTGACTCATCGGTTGAAGAAATATCGGGGGTGTGAGGAGAGTGTCAGTGAGGGAGTGTTAGTAAAGGGGTGATGGTGAGGGAGAGTGAGGCAGTATCGGTGAGAGTAAGAGGAGAGTGTGAGGAGTGTCAGTGAGGGAGACGTTATGACGCTCTGGGAGATCTGTTATAATAATAATAATAATAATAAAAATTAAATATAATACTAATACCTCTCTCTCTCTCTCTCTCTCTCTCTCTCTCTCTCTCTCTCTCCTCACCCCCTCAGTGGAGATACTCTAAACCAGCATTATTAAACTGTGTTGAAAAATATGACCTAATATGGTCCTCCCGCCATCATACATAGTGAAGGGGGGTCCTGGTCCCCCCCACACACACACTGATTTTCATATTCCTATTTTCGTCCGCGGGTAAACTGTGGTTCTTCTTCACGGTGTGCATAAATGAGTGGCTAGCATGGTGCTGAGGTAGGAAGGTCTTGTGCTGGTGCTGCTGTTGGTGATGTTGACTTGTGTAAAGAGACAGGTGTATCGGACCATCGAGAACAACACCATACGACACCACATACAGTATGTTAGTACAGTATGTAACATGTATTAGAATATTTTCTGTTACAGCAGTTAGAATGGTTAAGTACAGCTTATGGAGACATACTTTGTTTGCTTTTCATTTGAACTCTCTTGAGAATTAATGTTGTAAAAGCAAATGGATCGCTGAAGATTAGACACCCTAGCTTATTTAAAGTGAAGATTAACCACCCTAACCCTAACCTAAGTTAATGCTAACATAACCTAACCTAAAGTTAACCTAATTCAACTTAACCTAACACTGGCAAGGGGGGGGGGGTTAAGTTAGGGTATGTTAGGTTAGGTTACACTTGAGGTTAGGTTAGCGTTAGGGTGGTTAATCTACAGATGATTGGGAAGGTTGTCATATAATTAAGGATAAGATGATAATGGTAGAAATATTACTGGAGGATGGGAGGGCCAGGGGAAGGCAGAGACTGGGATGGATGATATAAATGTTGTGGTCCCCGGAGAGTTAGAGCATCTAGAGGAATTGGTAAACACAGCCCAGTGATGTATTGAGAAGTGGGCCGTGGTCGCCAACCCTCAGCCCTGAAAATGACACCTTGGTTGATTGATTGATCTGATAGTGTTGCAACGATAGAGAGAAAGAGACAGACAGACAGACAGACAGAGGGGGTTAAAAACGAGACAGACTAACACACGGACACACCAAAGAAACATTTATTCGCTCAAAGAAACGAAAAAAAAAAGAAAAGAAATAATCCATATATAATGGGATGGATTTACAAGCAGGGATTTAAGAGATTATCCTGGAAAGAGATCGTGGGAGAATAAAATAACCCCGACCCAATTAGATAAAGAGAGGGAGGAGATTTTCCATTAATATCCCTAGAGGATATTTTGAAGAAGTTGGGAGGAGGAAATAATCGCGCTAATTAGGTGTAATCTAGAGAAAGGTTTATTACTCAGTCCACGAAGATTATTTAGTGATAATTAGCAGGAAAGACACAACCAGACATTTCTAATTGGGTTGGATGGATGTCTGTCCTCGAAATTAGCTGTAAATAAATGGAAAACCAGTTAATGTGAAATTGGGAAGGAATTTAATACTGAAATTGAAAGGTAACTCCATGAAAATTGGCAGCAAGGAGAGTGACCTAAAGTAGAATCGCATTACACACTTGGTGATAATCCCGTGTAATGCTCAGGAAAAGATGAACCTTATTAGTAGTATATATACGGCTTATTGGTCTATCTGTCATTCTCTCTGTCTATCTATTTATCTGTTTCTATATATCTATCTGTCTACCTGTCTGTCTGTATGTCTGTCTCTATCTATCTATTTCTTTATCTTCTCCCTTTCTTCCCTGCTTTCTTCTCTTTCCTCCTTTCCTCCTCCTTCTTCTTCCTTCTTTCTTCCCCCTTTCTCTCTCTTTCCCCTCCATCCCCTTTCTTCCTTATTCCATTCCCTCTTTCTTCCTCATTTTCCCCTCTTCCCCCTTCTTCCCTTTTCCCTTCTTTCCTCTTCCTCCTCCTTCTCCTCCTCCTGCTCCTCCTCTTCTTCCCCTCTTTCCCCCTTCTCCTTCTTCCCTCTTTCAACCTTCTTCTTCTTCCTTCTTTCTTCCTCCTCCTTCTTACCTCTTTCCTCCTCCTCTTCCTCTTTCTCCCTTCTTTCCTCTTCCTCCCTTCTTTCCTCCTCCTCCTTCTTACCTCTTTCCTCCTCCTCTTCCTCTTCCTCCCTTCTTTCCTCTTCCTCCCTTCTTTCCTCCTCCTTCTCGTCTTATCACCCAGCTCTAGTATCTAAAATTGCTAACCTTCCTGCCATCTTGAGTACCGTGATATCTCTCAACTCTTCTTCCTCAAGTTGGTTTAACCCTTTGAGGACGATGGTTTAACCCTTTGAGGACGATGGTTTAACCCCTTGAAGACGATCGTTAAACCCTTTGAGGACGCCGGTTTAACCCTTTGAGGACGATGGTTTAACCCCTTGAAGACGATGGTTTAAGCCCTTGAAGACGACGATTAAACCCTTTGAGGACGCTGGTTTGACTCTTTGAGGACGATGGTTAAACGCCTTGAAGACGATTGTTTAACCCCTTGAAGACGATGATTAAACCCTTTGAGGACGCTGGTTTGACTCTTTGAGGACGATGGTTTAACCACTTAAAAACGATTGTTTAACCCTTTGAGTACGATGGTTTCGTTCTTATGTTAAACCATCATCCTCAAAGGGGTTAAACCATCGTTCTTATCATCCTCAAAGGGGTTAAACCGTCGTT